TAATACTGTAACAGTGTTAGTTTTTTGGTTTTGATAACCATACCACAGGTATATAAGCTGTTAACATTTGGGAAAGCCTGGGTGAAGAATATATAGGAACTCTTTGTACTATTTTTGTAACCTTTTAAAAGCCTGAATTATTACCCAAAAAGTTAAAAAAAAAAAAAAAAGGAGAAGTTTTTATAACTATGTAAATGTCTCTCCAAGTGGCCTGAATTAAAGAAAGCCCCATCTCCCTCTGAGGGAATTAAAAAATAGTAATAAGCATATACTTCAATTAAAAACAACCTCAAACAAACTAGATGAAAAAAGGTGATCAGTCCTATAAGTCTTCCTCCTTCAAAGGTACCAGAAATAAAGAAAGTGAACTTAAAACTCAGAAAAAGGAGAAATGTCCAAATATCAAAAATGGTCAGACTGGGTGAAATATAGCATCTCCATTGAATTCACATCAGTTAATTGGTATAGATTTTGGAACAAATTGAATGCTCTGATCAAATACAGTGACCTGGACTTAAAATTGTGTCTCCAAAGGTTATACACCCTAGACCCCATATGTGTGCATGTTGTATATGTATATACAAAATGTTAGATTATTAAATCATATATATACGACATATATCTAAGCTTTAAGAATTCAATTAGGTGAGGCATTTAAAAGAGAGCTAAAGTAATCACAGTGAAATCTCCAAATCCAATTTACTGAAGTTCCCACAAAGAATTTAATTTAACAGAAGGAGCAAATATAGAGGAAATACTCTTTTTACAACACAGTACAAACAGAATGTATTCTAAAATTTTAACAGCCTTTTAGGCCAAATGTTAGGTGTTTCAGAAGAGAAGAAATGAACTATTTAACAATGCTACTGTTAATCTACCAGCTGTGCTTTTCTTCTAGTGTTAATTCACACTCATAAAAAAGATCCTTTAGATGTTTACATTTTAAATACCAGATTTACAAAGTTTAAGAAAAACTGGAGAGCTACTTAACTATGAGGGTAGTACCTTTAGGAAGAATCAAATTCAAAGGAAATTTGAAAGATGAATAAATTAATTGATTCACAAGAGAATCATTAATATCAATAAACAGAAAGTGTAACTAAATCCTCATTGGACACTGTCACCCTCCAACAAATCCAGCACCTATATTATTAGCGAACTATATTATACAGTTCCATTTTCAGTACATAAGCAGGTTACTAAATTCACAACAAAGCTTTATGTGACTGACTGAATCAGTGTTACAAAGACAAAGTTCAAACAATGAAAAACACCTGTGAAAAGCTTTAATTTGTGTCCATTAAAGAAAGTGACTCATATATAGCATCTGTAAATAGATCAATTCCATCACTTAAGATACTTAAACACTAACTTCTTCTAAGATCATCTAGACAAGTGACAGTGAGGGTGGCAAAATCACAACACTGTATTCTAATTTCTGAAAATGTTTTGTGCTCTACAGTTTTTGGAGTACTTTACTTGTGTTACACTCACTGAGTAGGAAATCCTTCCCATGTAACCTCTTCAGGAAATTTAGAGTTAGAATTTCTATCCCAGTATATTGTTGTTGTTGTTATGTGCCATCGAATTGCCCCGACTCATAGCGACCCCTCCTTGGGTTTCCGAGGCAGTATCACTACGGAAGTAGATTGCCCCATCTTCCTTCCGAGGCGTGGCTGGTGGGTTTGAACTGCCAGCTTTCTGGTTAGCAGTCAAGTGCCTTAGGCACTTTGCTACTAGAGCTCCTATCCCAGTATATGTTGTTGTTGTTGTTATGTGCCATCGAGTTGGCCCCGACTCATAGTGACCCCTCCTTGGGTTTCCAAGGCAGTATCACTACGGAAGTAGCATTGCCCAACCTTCCTTCCAAGGAGTGGCTGGTGGGTTTGAACCGCCAGCCTTCTGGTTAGCAGTCAAGTGCTTTAGTCACTACGCTACCAGAGCTCCTAGTATATAGGACCTCCAAAACCAAACCCCCTGCCATTGAGTTGGTTCCAACTCATAGTGACCCTTCAGAACAGAGTCAAACTGTCCCATAGGTTTTCCAAGGCTGTAAATCTTTACGGAAGCAGACTGCCTCATCTTTCTCCCACAGAGCACCTTTTAATGGACACAAATGAAATAAATGAATTCAATAAATACAGCAAACAGCTGAATTAATATCCTTGGGATCTTTGATTTCAATTAGAGCTATGTTGATTTTAAATCAGTTTTGAAATAGCTTTTTAAAACTTGGTTTTAAAAAATACATCTTGTACATTCAATAGTTACATTCAACACAGAATGATCTCCTTGTCTCCTAATAAGCAGCTCAAATCCAACTAAACTGAAATCAAACTCCAGAAAAATGTTACTTTAACCAAGTGTGAGCTGTAAAAATTATATTTGACACTTCTATTTATCAAAGCCATTTAAAAGATGAGACTGCACATTTTTAACTTTTGTTTTTACAAGATCATCACAGAGGCTAACCATATCTCTTATTAGAAAATCATTCATTTAAAAAAAAAGCTACTTAATAAATAAGGCACGTGGTCAATTTGTTTAAATATACTATCTACCTATAATACGAAATGAAGATTCTTAGGTCTTATGAGCATCTTTTGAAGAGCCAAGATTTTAGTGTTATTACGGAGTATGCTGTAATGCAAAATATTGTACTTCCCAATCATTTTCACAGTGATTATCATAATGAAGTTTTCATAACTGGAGGAAAGGAGGTTCTTGGGAGATGCTGACTAGGGAGCTGAGGCAGAAGAGGGGAAGGGGGATGGTGAAAATCTGTTAAATTGCTACTTGACAAAACAAAGGAATAAAAATTTCTCAACTACTGAGAATAGTTTCTTTTATCTAAAATGTTTCAAACTTTACTGGTAACAAGTAACTTTGGGATTATTAGGCTTGATTTGTTTTTTGTATTGTAATACATGGCCTGACAGAATGGACTTTCAAGAGAAAAATCAAGTATCAATTTTGGTTGATAATTTAAATAACCAAATTTTTTTCTTGGATTTTAAAGACTTCAAAATAAAAGGTTCACTTTTAAACACACCCCAAATTAAAAATAAACTAACAAAAAAAAGTGTATTATTATATCTTCCGTTGGAAAGGCTCTCTCCAAGGTCAATCACCGAAGTTTACCAAATTATAAGCCTTTTATTATACAGAACAAGGTAAGGTCCCCGTTTTCCCTGCTTCCAGGTATCTCAAATGTCCATTTTTTCAGTCTTTATGTTTTCTGATTCTACCCCAAACGTATTTGTTTTAAAATATGTTAATATACAGAGTTGACTTGGTACTTTCTATAATGCTCTTCAAACCCTGACAGTCCCTCCCACAAAAAGCAGAAAAGACTATTTCAAGGAGACCCTTCTGAATTGAAATGAACAGTTAACGTACCAGAAAAATGTTCTCCTCACATGTCATGCTAGAATTTTACTTTCTTACCCCTCAGTGGCATAATTTAACAACCTCTAAAAGGTATCCATCCCTTGTATGTGTTGCATGTATATCCACATATTTAAGCCACACAAGGGCACAGTTATGGAGGTGTCCTAGACATATCCAAACAATGCAGAGGATTACCTTACTGGGTTAAAAGGCTTGGGACCATAGTCTCAGGGAACAACTGAGTCAATTAGTGTAATAAAGTTCAAAAACTAATGCTCTATACATCTTAGTTTGGTAGTAGTGTCTGGGATCTTAAAAGCTTACAAGCAGCCATCTAAGACACAACTATTGGTCAATATTCATATGCAGCAAAAGTGAATGAAGGACATCAAAGGCTTAAGAAGAAACTAATGCATCTAACTAACAGCCCCCATGAAACATAGCCTCTTCAAACTTGAGACAAGAAGAATTAGATGGTGTCTGGCTACTACTACTGAGTGTTCTGACCCAGGACACAATAGAAGGTCCTGGATAAAATGCAAGAAAAACGTAAAATAAATCTCAAATTTCAGAACACTTAATTGTGCCCGCGAGGAACCTACACATAAACTGAAAGGCAGTCACTCAAATAGAACAAGGGTTTAAATCAGGAAAGGTGTGCATCAGGGCCATATCCTTTCACCATACTTATTCAATCTGTATGTTAAATAAATAATTTGAGGAGCTGGACTATATGAAGAATAATGAGGCATCATGCTTGAAGGAAGACTCATTAACAACCTGTAACATGCAGATGACACAACCTCACTTGTTGAAAGTGAAGAAGACTTGAACTGCTTCCTGATGAAGAACCAAGTGTTCAGTATGAATTACATCTGAAATATGTAATATGAAAACATAAGGAAAACAAAAAGGACAACTGGACCAATAAGCAACATCATGACAAAAGGAGAAAATATTGAAATTGTCAGAGATTTCATTTTACTTGTATCCACAATCAACACCCATGGAAATAGCAGTCAAGAAATCAGATGTTGTATTGCATTGGGCAAATCTGCTGCAAGGGACCTTTTCACGATGTTAAAGAGAAAGATGTCACTTTGAAGACTAAGGTGTGCCCAACTCAAGCCATGATATTTTCAAAAGCCTCACACACATGTGAGTAAGGAAGAGTGAAGAAGATCTGATGCATATGAATTATGGCATTGATAATGAATATTAAATATACCATGGACTGCCAGAAGAACAAACAAATCTGTCTCGGATAAAGTACAGCCAAAACACTCCTTAGAAGCGAGGATGACAATACCTTGCCTTGCTTACTTTAGTCATGTAGGCAGGAGGGACCAGTCTCTGAAGAAGGTTATCATGCTTGGTAAAGTGGATGGTCAGCAATAAAGAGGAAGACCACCAATGAGATGGACTGACACAGTGGCTGCACCAATGGGCTGAAGCAAAGCAATGACTGTGAGGATGGTGCAGGATTGGGCAGTGTTTTGTTCTGTTGTACATATGCGTCGGAATCGACTTGATGGCACCTAACAACAATACTACGGATTAAAAATGGTTTTTCAGACCAAAGAGGAGTAAAAGAATGGTAAAACACTTACCTGCATGTAGAAAGAGGAGCAAACTGAACACCTTTCTCTTTGCATTCCCTTGTTATTCTTTCTTTTACATTTCTACAGAGATCTACAACCCTAGAAAAGATAATTGAATACATTATTAAGCTTTCAAATGAATTATACAAATAACAACAGACAGTTTATCTGGAATCCGTCAAGTCAGAATTCTCTTAACTAAAACTTTCATAGTTATCCTAAAAATTGAAGGATCTTGTTCAAAGTTGAGCCTTCCACTCATAACTTCAAGGGAGCAAAATCCTTTTTTTGTTTGCTATAGGAAAGACAAAAGTCAGAAAAATAAACTCAAGTCTCCTGAAGGCAGTTTTTTATCCTTAGGAAAACCCAATTTCAAAATAAATTATTACAAGGCTTCAGAGTTTAAAAAAAAGTTCTAAAGAACATGTCAATAAATATTCAATTCTGGGTTACACGAATACCAATCTTTATGTGTAAGGTGTTTTCCTTAATTAAAAATAATAATCCAATGAATAATTATGTTATATCAAATGTTCAATAGCCTATTTTCAAAACCCTAGCCAGTAGCTGAATAATGAGGAAGAGATACTTTTTCATTCTTTCTTGACCTATCAGCAAATTTAACACTGTTGACCATCTCCTCTTAGAAAAAACTCCCAGGCCTTCTCTCACATCAATATTTTTAATATTCTTCCAAAGCCTCCAATTATTATTCCTCAATCTCCTTTGCCCACTCTTGTTTGTATGACTATGCCTTAAAAGTTGGATATCCCTGGACTTCTTCCTTGGAATCTCTGGTGGTGTAGTGCCTAAGGCATTCTTGATTGCTAACCAGAAGGCTGGCGGTTCAAACCCACCAGCCACTCCTTGGAAAGAAGATTAGGCAATCTACTTCTGTAGCAATACCACCTTGGAAACCTAAAGAGGGGTCGCTATTAGTTGGGATCGACTCCATGGCAGTATTTTTTTTTTTCTTAGTTTAGACTTCTTCTTTAGGCCCTCTTTTTTTCCCTCCCTTTCATGCCCTATATCCGTAAGTGTTTTTATCTACCCCCTTGGTTTTCATTACAAGCTTAATGCTGGTGTCTCCAAAATCTCTAACTCTGACCTCTTAGGCAGCTATTTTTTAATAGGCTGCATTCTTACACCACTCCACTGTTCATTCATAGGATTCTATGCAGAATATTTACTGAGTACCAATTAGGTGCAATCACTGTGCTAGGGCCAATGAGGAATACACATGCTATAAGATCAACAGCCCCATTACAGGTTTTTACATGAAAAGACCAATGAACTTATGTGTTAGGGGTGAAGATCCTGATCTTTAGGGTTACTGCAAAACAGTGTCTTTACTCAGTTAGAGATGTGAATGAAAATCAAGTTGCTAAATGGGTAATGACTAAATGTTATGCCAGGAATATAACTACATCACAGTAATGGTATTTATTAAAATAAACTTCAGCTGAAGAAATAGTTTTAAATGAAAATGTATAACCCTGCATAAAACATAAATTATCAGTGAGTCAATTAAATAAATATATAAGGATATACAAAGAAAGGAAGAAGAAAAATGGATAGTATATAATTAGCTTTCATGGTTGGAAGAATAAGAAGAGAAGATGGCAATAATTTGTTAGCAGTAACTGTATGATGAGGAAATGCTTAATACTGAAGAAAAGGTAACACTATACTTACGGCTTTCTTCTGTAAAGAGAGGTATGTGTTAAAGATTAAAATAGTCTGAGACAACTGCGAAAGCTGCCAAACTACTTCTGCTGCTCAAAAATGTCAGATGTCAAGGACTTGCTCATTCTTTTACTTACATGATTTATTTCCCTTGCTGAAATTTAGAATAAAAAATTATGACTATCAGATTGATACTATAAATTGGGTTAAAAACTAACAATGCATGGAATATGAGAACCTATGCACCAAAAGTTATAATCTACAGTAGATGAACACTGAATGTAGAAAAGTAAAAAGTTTTCTGGGAGAAAAAAAGATGTTGGGAGGACAAAATGTTAACATTTAGGAGGTGGATTCATGGAAATTTATAAAAATAAGCTTTACACTTTTCTGTAGATTTAAAATATTTCATAATTTTTTAACAAAAAAGTACAATGTAAGGCACAAAAGAAAATAAAAGTATATTGACAATCTCAAGAATCTTTTTTCTTATTCAATGACTTAAAAACTCACAAATCTATTTTTAATAAAACTATTTCACATTTCCTGGTAAATTTTGGGAGTACCTGGGAGGTGCAAATGGTCAATTCTCTTGGCTGTTAAGCAAAGGTTGGAGGTCCAAGTCCTCCCAAAGGTACCTCAAAGGAAAAGACTGGTGATCCACTTCTGAAAAATCAGCCACCAAATACCCCATGGAACACAGCTCCACCCTAGCGCACTCGCGGTCACCATGAGTTAGAACTGATTCAAAGGCAACCAGCTCTCATCCTTACTTCCTTAACCAATGTGCGTGTATCTCTCGCTCTGTGTGTGTGTGTGTTTATTTCTTGTAAAGAAGCCCTTGAAAAATTTATTTCCATTTGTCTTATTTGAGCCATTGAATGTAGTGTGTTCCAGTACAGAAGTTTTGCTTAAATTTAAAAACAAATTGTACACAATTTCTTAAATTGGATTTCTTTCAGAAACCACTTAAAAGCAAGTTAAAATATAAGTTTAAATGTGGACATATAAAAACATCAACCTTTAAATAATATATGATAAAAGAGGACTAACTTGTTTTATAATTGGAGGACTTCTTAGAGAATACTTAATGGATATTAATCACTTAAGAATTTATATCAAAACTAAGTAAAACTATATAGTGACATTTAGTGTTCAGTAAGATTCTTCACAATCTAAGTGTCAAGAATACCTTCCTTACTTCATAGAGAAATTTGCCTCAAACCAAAAATGGCTGGAAAATGTGTTATTCTGATAAAGATATTAAATAAAAGTGGCTTCCTTGTTTCAATGGTTCTTTGCAAAGTTTTAAAAGTTTACCTGTTCACACAGTTACCTTACTTCAACAACTTATACAATAGCACATTTGGATAAGATCCAGCATTTTATTACATTTACCTGTCCCAAGGAGCAGAAGTCTCAAAGGATTCTCCTAACACATAGTATTCCAAACCCAAGTCCTATTAAGACATATACATAAAAATTAAAACAGATGCAGAAGAGTCAATAATATTGTTAGCATGTTCATGTTCATTGTCAGCATTTCATGCAATTCTTAGTATTACATGTTTGTAATTTAATCTCAACTATTCTTTACTATTCACATCATTAAAACACAGGAAAGTTGCCCCAACAGTGAGATATATCCTCCACAATGGCAGGCACCTCGTTTGTCTTGTTCTCTTCTATATCCTTCAGTACCTAACATATATATGGTAAGAATGGAAATATTTTTCCAATGAATGAATCCTCTCTCCAGAACTGTGTATGTGCATGAAGAAAGCAACAGAAGAACAAAAGTTTAGTGGCCTAAATAGCAAATTAACCAATATCGTAATTGGTCATCAGGGCTGAATGAGGAGGGGGAGCAGGAAAGTCATGGAGAAGAATTAAAGAGATCTCTTCTTAAAATCAACTCTTTTGGTGGTGGTAAGGTTTTTATTGTGATTTGTGTGAAAGTTTACACAACAAATTGGTTTTCCACTCAAAAATTCATATACATTTTGCTGTTTCATGGTAATGATTGCAATCCTCACAATATAACAGCACTGTTCCCACTTCCTCCCTGTGGCTGCCATCTCCATTTGTCCTCTTTCCTATCCCCTCCTGAGCTTTATCCCCAGGCAAATGCTGCTCTTTTGATCTCCTATGGCTTACTGTTTTAAGGAGTGTATACCTCCCTGGTGTTATTGTTCACCTAATAGATATGCTATTGTTTGGCTGAAAGTTGAGACATGGGGATGAATGCGGTTCCAGGCCTGAAGGGTTATAGTCTTGGAGATTCTACCAGTCTCTATCAGACCAGTAAACCTGGTCTTTTTTATTATTTTGAATTTTATTCTACATTTTTCTCCAACTATACCCAGGACTGCATATTGTGGTTTCAGAATGGTCAGCGATAGTAGCCAGGCATCATCTAGTTCTTTCTGGTCTCAGGGCTATGGAGGCAGAGATTTGCATAGTCCATCAGTCCTTTGGACAAATTGTTTCCATGCATCTTCATTTTCTTCACTTTTCTTTTCTCCCGATAGGGAGAGACCAATAGTTGCACATTAGATAGCTGCTCAAGCTTTCAAGACCCTAGTCACTGTTCACCAAAGTAGAATGTAGAACATTGTCTTTGTGGACTGTGTTATGCCAATTGATGTTGATGTCCTACAGGACCATGGTTCTAAGGCCCCAGACCCAGTGGCTTATTGCCTCAAGATGTTTGGTTATGGCTAAAAAGTTTTCATACTTTTGCCACCTATACATGCTCTACTCTATTCCTGGATATATTTGTAACATATATAAATACATATGTAGAAATATTCTCTGCTCAATTTATATACATTCGTGAGTGCAGCCCAATTCACCCTCCCACAGCTGCTCAGCTTGTGTGTCTATCTATGTGTCCACTAGTAGATTACTGTTATGATTGTTATTGCAGGGCTGTGTACATAATACTATTTACCTGTGTTGCCTTTAACTTCTGTGCTCATCCCAGTGTCTTCCTTTACCTTGATCAATAAGTGGTGACCTCCTCTTTATTGTGTATTGCCTTTCTTTTCACCAAAGTAATATATGTCTAGTTAGTGATTTATTCCAGTAAGTAACTTATCATTCCTTCCCCTTCCACCCCTGGTAACCTTCATAAAACTCTAATTCACTGCCATTCAATCAATTCCCATCTGGTTAGTAGTCAAATGTCATAGTACTGTTCAACTTTTTAAAAACCAAATTTAGAAAATAAAATGCCTCACTTTGCAGAGAGGATAGAATAGATGGGACATCTGGATGCACCTCTGCTGCTGCTGTTGTTAGGTGCTACTGAGTCAGATCTGACTCACAGCAACCCTAAATACAACAGAACGAAACATTGCCCATACATGAGCCATCCTCACAATCCTCGCTATACTTGAGACCATTTGTTGCAGCCACTGTGTCAATCCATCTTGTTCAGGGTCTTCCCCTTTTTCTCTGACCCTCCACTTAACCAAGCATATTTTTCTCCAGGAACAGTCTTTTCTGACAACATCATCAAAGTAGGGGAGACAAAGTCTGGCCATTCTCACTTCCAAGGTGTATTCTGGCTGCACTTCTTCCAGGACAGATCTGTTCATTCTTCTGGCAGTCCATGGTACTTCTAGTATTCTTCACCAGCACCACAACTCAAAAGCATCAACTCTTCTTCAGTCTTGCTGACTCATCGTCCAGCTTTCATATACATATGAAGCGACGGAAAATATCATGGCTTGGGTCAGGTGCACCTTAATTTTCAGAGACATCTTTGTTCTTCAGTACTTTAAAGAGGTTTTTTGCAGCAGATTTGCCCACTGCAATATGACATCTGACTTCCTAACTGCTACTTCCATGTATATTAATTGTGGATCCAAGTAATATGAAATCTTTGACAACTTCAATCTTTTCTTCATGTGATGCTGCTTATTGGTTCAGTTGTGAGGATTTTCATTTTCTTTATGTTGAGGTGTAATCCATACTGCAGACTGTAGACTTTAGTCTTCATCAGTAAGTACTTCAAGTCATCTTCACTTTCAGCAGGCAGGGTTGTGTTGTCTGCATATCACAGGTTATTAATGAGTCTTCCTCCAATCCTGATGTCATGTTCTTCATAGAGTCCAGTTTCTTGCATTATTTGCTCAGCATGAACACTGAATAAGTATGATGAAAGATACAACCCTGACACACACCCTTCCTGGTTTTAAACCATGTGTATGTCTTTGTTCTCTTTGAACGACAGCATCCTGGTCTATGTATAGGTTCCTCAGGAGGACAATCAAGTGTTCTGGAATTCCCATTCTTCTCAATGTCATCCATAACTTGTTATGATCCACACAGTTGAATGCCTTTGCATAGTCAATAAAACACAAGTAAACATCTTTCCGGTATACTTTACTTTCAGCCAAGATCCATCTGACATCAGCAATTATATCCCTCATTCCACATCCTCTTCTGAATCCAGCTTTACATTTCTGGAAGTTCTCTGTCAGCAGACTGCTGCAATCAATTTTTAATTATTTTCAGCAACATTTTACTTGTGTGTGATATTCATAATATTGCTCGATAATTTCCACATTCTGTTGGATCACCTTTCTTTGGAATGGGTACAAATATGGATCTCTTTGAGTCAGTTGACCAGATAGCTGTCTTCCAAATTACTTTGCACAGACGAGTAAGTGTCTATAGGGTGGCAATCATTTATTGAAACATCTCAATGGGTATTCTCCATCAGTTGGAGCCTTGTTTTTCACCAATTCCTTGAACATAGCTTCAACTTCTTCCTTCAGTACCATTGGTTTTTGATCATATGCTACCTCCTGAAATAGTTGAACATCAACCAATTCTTTTTTGTACAGTGACTGTGTATTCCTTCCATCTTCTTTTGATGCTTCCTGTATCATTCAATATTTTGCCTATAGGCTCTTTCAATGTTGCAACTCGAGGCTTGAATTTTTTCTTCAGTCCTTTCAGCTTGAGAAATGCTGAGCATGTTCTTCCCTTTTGGTTTTCTAATTTCAGCTCTTTGCATATTTCATTATAATAATTGACTTTGTCTTCTCAAGCTGCTCTTTCAAATCTTCTGTTCAGCTCTTTTATCTTGTCATTTCTTCCATTTGCTTTAGCTACTCTCCATTCAAGAGCAAGCTTCAGAGTCTTTTCTGACTTCCATGTTGATCTTTCTTCCTTTCCTGTCTTTTTAATGACCTTTTGTTTTCCTTGTATATGATGTTCTTGATGTCATCCCACAATTTGTCTGGTTTTCGGTCACTGGTGTTCAACATGTCGAATTTATTCTTCAGATGGTCTCTAAGTTCAGGTGGCATATAATCAAGGTCATATTTTGACTCTCATGGATTTGTTTTAATTCCCTTCAGCTTCAGCTTGAACTTCCATATGAGCAATTGATGGTAAGGTCTGTTCCACAGTCAGCTCCTGGACTTGTTTTGGCTGAAGATATCGAGCTTCTCCATTGCCTCTTCCCACAGATGTAGTCCATTTGATTCCTGTGTATTCCTTCTGGAGAGGTCCATGTGTATAACTGCTGCTTATGTTGTTGAAAAAAGGCATTTGCAATGAATAAGCCATTGGTCTTCAAAATTCTATCATGTGATGTCTAGTGTCATTTCTATCACCAAGGCCATATTTTCCAACTACCGGTGATTCTTCTTTGTTTCCAACTTTTGCATTCCAATCACCAGTAATAATCAATACATCTTGACACATGTTTGGTCAATTTCAGACTGCAGACATTGGTTAAAAATCTTCCAATTCCTCATCTTGGCTTTAGTGGCTGATGCATAAATTTGATAACAGCAGTATTAACTGGTCTTCCTTGGAGATGTATGAATATGATCCTATCATTGACAGCATGCTACTTCAGGACAGATCTTGAAACATTCTTTGTGACGATGAATGTGATGCCATTCCTCTTCAATTTGTCATTCCTGGCATAGTAGATCGTATGGCTAATTTAAAATGGCCCAAACCAGTCCATTTCAGCTCATTAAGTCCCAGGATATCGACCTTTATTCATTCCATTTCATTTTTGACAACTGTGTACATTCCATGTTCTGGTTAATCAATGTTTGCAGCTGTTTCTTCCTATTTTAAGTCATCCCACATCGGCAAATGGAGGTCCTGAAACTTAATTCCATCCATATCATTAAGGTTGAATCTACTTTCAGGAGGCAGCTGTCCTCCAGTCATATTTTGAGTGCTTTCTGACCTAAGGGGCTCTTCTTCTGGCACTATATCGGACAATGTTTCAGGGCTATTCATAAAGTTTTCCAGTAATATATTAGACAGGGTTTCATTGCTATTCATAAGGTTTTCACTGGCAAATTCTTTGAGAAGTGGATGGCCCCTTCCCTCCTTTGAGTCTTAGTCTGGAAGCTCGCCTGATATCTGTCCACCATGGGTGACCCTGCTGGTACTTGAAATACTGGTGGCATAGCCTCCAGCCTTACAGCAACATGCAAGCCACCACAGTATGACAAACTGACAGATGAGCGGTGGCACCTCTGCTAGGAACATATATTTCATAGCATACCAAATATGATAGGTATATTACAAGTAACTTATAATACTTAATTTCTTTACCTAGAGTACAATTCTGTTTTAATATCAAAACTGAAAGAACAATTCACCACCACAGAACTAAATTTTTGAGAGAAAACTTCATAAGGTAGAAAAATCAATACATGATACAAGTTTTGACTTCCAGTAAAACGAATCACTTTAACTCCATCACTAGTTGACAGGAAAAATCCCCAACTTACTGACCTATAATGTATGTTTTTCTCTTATTAAAAAAACATTTTGTTGGTGACAATGCTATTATACATTAGGAAAGTAAGGAATCAAGGCCAAATAACTGATTTAAAAAACAAAACAAAACACTCTATTTTGCCTTTCACTAAGTTTTAGATCATTAAGTACTAACTATTAATTGGAACCTTGTTAATCAAGAAATTTACTCCAAACTGTATCTATGCTGTATTTGTTACAGTTCTATTTTACTTTCTACAATTCTGAATTTAGTGCTATGGGAAAATAGTCAATACCTTGAGAAAAAGTGCCCAACAAACAAGCATGAAGAGAACCTAATGCAATGACAGTCTATCTAGGTAGATGTGATCTATAAATTGCATGAACCTTATTTTCAGATCTAAAATTATGTATTATCTTTCATGATCTGCATCTCCCTTAATCATAATTTCTACACACAGTGCACAGGCAATAATCGTACTTTTTAAAATCTGCATTATGATGGCGATGAAGGAGGATGTCATATATGCTTCAATTCAGTGCAATTCAAAATCTGTATTTGAGCTATAATTACATTATTTTTATAATGAAAACACATTATCTCAGCTTTCATACAGAGGTGAAAACAAGGCCTTATGTATTTCTTTCAAAACAATTTCCAAGTGAAAAATTAGAAAATTTAGTATTTGGGAAAGTCAAATTGTCTATAGAATATCTGAGAAATTGTTTTTAAACTAAGATCCTTCAAATTACTTAAGAAGCAAAATTAAAAATAAATGAATAAAAGTAACCTTAGTAACAGAAAAAAATTAAGACACTTGAGTTTGTTACAGCCCAAGTAGAAAAATAAAACAATCTTTCAAAAGAACAATTTCATATCAATAAATTCAAGAAACTCAAGGTTAACGATGACTGGAGAATAGCATCTTACAAATAGTAAGAAATAGTAAATGTACAATTAGAAAAATGTGTGATGCTTATACATATGCAAATTATTTCTTTAATTCTACATTGTAATCATCACCCATGAACCAATAACTGCTAGCAAATATCAATTTTTAAAGAAAGATGTATGTACTTTTAAAACTGATGATGTGGACAAGAGAAGGATATTGCTATATAAGACAGCTTGATTCTAATCAAGTAATGCTAGAAATGGCAAGCTAACCTTCTAACAGAGAATGGCTTTATTTTTTTTCAAAAGCAGAAGATGCACTAAATCGCCTTTTAAGTTCCCCAAAAGCATATATGGAAGGTTTAAATAGGCTTCTGAAGATTTACAGCTAATCACATAAAATGATATGCTAAATTATAATATCTTAAAAATTAAGGGAAAAAAAGAGGACAATTTTATTTGCTCAGTATAGGAAAAAGTATTATTTGTAACATAAATTATGGAGACAGGAGAAATAAAACTTACTCGAATATATGCAATGACATAGGTCAGCAAGTAACCTCTCTGTCCATTATCTTCTCCAACAGCAAATCCACTGTAATTAAAGAATAAACAATTAATATATTTCAAATGAACTATTAAAAGATACAGAATACTAATCCAATTGAAGTAACTCCTTCAAGTAACTCAAGTAACTCCTTAATAGATCAATGTACCCTATGTTGCATCTCATTATTATCTAAATATATGAAAGCTGTCAAGAGGATAAGCTTGAATAATAAAAATCTAAAAATACTTGTAATATTTTATTTTACTCATTAATTTCAAACTTTTATCCACCAAACTAATAAAATAGACACATTTAAATTTCAACTACTTCTATTTATATTTTCAAAAGAGCAGAGAAAGGATGAATGATGAGGAACAGCTTAAATAACCTGCAAAAACCATAACTAGATACTTAAAATTTGATCTTATCTATATATAAAAAAAATACAATGACTGACTAGGAATTCCCAAATACCAGGAAGTTTCTTGAATATTGGGCACATAGTATTTGGAGTGTTAAATAGATGTTTATTTAATAGAACTTACGGTTTAAATGGTAGACAAAAGATACTTACACAGAAATAAAGTTTACAAAGCACATACATGTAGATAATTGCAGGACTAACAGGTAAGGTCTTACTGCTATAACTATATAAACTATTCATCCATTCATTTCTATTTGAAAGTAGTTTTATACATTGTTGTTGTTGTTATGTGCCGTGGAGTCGGACCCGACTCATAGCAACCCCTCCTCGGGCTTCCGAGGCAGTATCACTACGGAAGTAGATTGCCCCATCTTCCTTCTGAGGAGTGGCTAGTATGTTTGAACCACCAGCCTTCTGGTTAGCAGGCAAGTGCCTTAGGCACTAAGCTACCAGAGCTCCTAGTTTTATACATAGAAATTATATTTGGCGATCTAGTTAGAATTAATCCCATATGGCATATCATTTAGCCAAAGTAGTCTCTCTGGTTCCTTACTTTAAAATACTACGACTGAAAAATGCATTGACCCATGTCACTTTAGTTTTGTGTATTTCACGGTACATAAATTGTATTTCAATAAAATGCATTTAACAAAAGACTATGACTGAAAATGGCTTTCTACTACCTTTAGTAAAGAATTTTTAATTATGCCTTTTTCCGTCAACAGGCAGAAATTAACTTTTAACTAGTCTCAGTCAATAAAATAAAACTTACCCTAACTCTCAAAGTAGCCACAAAAGACCTTTCCATACAACTAGATTAAAAGAAAAATATACTTTCTTGTACTTTTTGTCATATTTGATGATTAGGTTTTAAGCCTCTTCTCAGTGTCCCAAGTGTATCTCTTTGGTCTCACTTAATATGCTGAGTCATTAACCCTGGGTATCATTTAAGACTCAGTCTTTGAAACTGTTACATGAACTTTTTCTGGATGAATCATTTCTCTTATGTTTTTCATTAACACCTTATAGTTAAATCCCTTTCTTCTCCTGAAGTTTTGTTGTATTGGGTAACTAAATAATACAATGTAATTGTCCTCTTGTTGTATACAAATACTGTAAGGTAACTTCAGGCTAAGATCTATTAGCTAAAATCAGAATTTCCTGACTTACTATTACAGCTGGATATACACAAATTACAGTCATCCAGAAAGAGTGGTAAAGACTTGACAGGAACAACACTAGTCTAGAACTGTTTGGGGGACAGGGTACAAGGAAATGAAAAGAGCCGTCTGTATTACTAAATTATTAATGAGCAAAGAAGACAGAACTTAGGTTAAGCGACGGAAAGTGAAAACTAAGAAGAGACAGAACACAATTCTGAGTTCGGGAGAAGGGCAGAAAACCAAATAAAGTTCTAAAACGAAAAGAAAATAGATGAACAACAGAGCAGGTAGATACGAAACAGTCAGATTTTGAATTCAAGAGATTAAAAACACGACTGATTTAGAAAACAGAAACAGTTCATCCTGGGCCTAGTAGTAAAAGGAAAAAAGACTTAAGATTAGAAAAAGGTACAAGAGATCTGTCCTGGGAATCTCTAGGAAGAAGCATGCCAAGTATGTATTTGGAAAGAAGTAATAAGTAAGAATACTGAGTAGGCCTGTCTGTCTTATGCCAGGATAAGACAAAGTTCTATTTTCCACTTCCTAGATAGCTAACGTATCATCTATCTATCCATCTATTTAATAATTTTTCCTTAACCTTCTTCTAGTATCTGGCAGGGTGAAATAAGGATCTGTTCTACTTTGGGATCCAGGATGCCAAACCACATAGACACAAGCATTCTCTTATCAAAAGGGGAAAAAAGAGGATGCTCATTCTAAGGTTATAAACTCCAAAAGAGAAGAAAGGCAATGAATCATACATTTCCCTGCAAATTTGGTGATTTGGAATTTCTCTTTTCATAGCCAGAATGTTCCTAAAAAGTGAGAAGGGCTAGACTTAGTCTCTCGTACCATGGTGATGTTATCATGAGGGATCAGTCCCTGGAGAAGGAAATCATGTTTGGTAAAGTAGAGGGTCAGTGAAAAAGGGGAAGACCCCAACATGGGGGACTGACACAGAGGCTGCAACAATGGGCTGCAGCATGGCAATGGCTGTGAGGACGGTGCAGGACCTGGCAGTGTTGTGTGCAGGGCCACCGTAAGTGGAAACCAACTCAACAGCACCTAACAGCAATAACAACGTAACATTCAAAACTGTCTATCTTCAGCCAGAGGAGCTCTGGTAGGACAGTGGTTAAGGCACTTGACTGCTAACCAGAAGGCTGGTGGTTCAAACCCACCAGCCACTCCTCGGAAGAAAGGTTGGGCAATCTACTTCCGTAGTGATACCATCTCAGAAACCAAAGGAGGGGCTGCTATGAGTCGGGGCCAACTCCACGGCACATAACAACAACAACAACATTCTCAGCCAGAATTACCTTAAGAATCAATTTGTAAATAACCAAAATCAAACTCATTGCCGTTGAGTTGCATCTGACTCATAGTGACCCCTTCTTGGGTTTCCAAGGTGGTATCACTACAGAAGTAGATTGCCCACTCTTCCTTCCGAGGAGTGGCTGGTGGGTTTGAACTGTCAGCCTTCTGGTTAGCAGTCAGGGCTTAAAAATTAAAGCCTTCTAACTTGCCATTTTTGCAGCTACTTAAAAAAATTATGTAGCTTCATACTGCTTTATCTTAGAGCAGCAATATCCAACCCATACTTCCTATTCTCCAAATTTCAAACAACAATTAACAAGGTCCTTAAAGAAATTTAAAGTTGCTGCATGAGGAAGAACTGGAAAATCTAATGAAAGAGGAAGGCAAGACAATCACTGCATATAAAGGGCCATCTGGTGAATCTAATCATTCTCACGTTAAAAGTACATTAAACACTTAAGCACACATTTTAAAAATAACAATAACATATTACCTTAAGTTCTCTGGCAAATGTCAGTACATCTGTCATGACTGCTGACAGATACTGTTTATTCTGCTCAGCCCTTAACAAAGTTAAAATATATACCATCAAATATGGATAAATTATCTAAGTTAACTAATGCTGCTGTAACAGAAATACCACATGTGGATGGCTTCAACAAATAGAAATTTATTTTCTCACAGTTAGGAGGCTAAGTGTCCGAATTCAGGGTCCTGACCCTAGGGGAAGCCTTTCTCTCTCTGTTGGCTCTGGAGGAAGGTCCTTGTCTCTTCTGAGCTTCTGCTCCTGGGCAATCTTCACGTGCCTTGGTATCAATCTCTGCTTGCTTCTCTAGCTTGTTTAATCCAAGGCTTTAAACCAGTTCATTGCACTTCAACCCCTTTCCTGAGAATTTGCATTGGCCCCCCAGATATACTGACTCAGAATCTATATTTTAGTAAGATTCTCAGGTGATTCTTATAAATCCCCAGGTGATTCTTACGTATACATGGCAGCCCTACCCTCACCTCCGTACATCTTAATGGTGGCCCTACCCTCCAGAACTAAGTTGGCAAAGATCTAACTCTTTGAAACCCTAGGGGGCTGTGGCCCCACCCTTTAACATCCAGGAGACCATGACTCTGCCCTTTGAAACCAAGAAAGCCCTGCTTCCCACGTTCCTTTCAACAGTTCTTCTGATCTCCAATCTGCTTCAGGGATGGTCCTTTCCTTTTCTTGGAGGACAGCAGATGTAGCTCCTTTGGCCTATTTTCTGCCTATAGAATTCCAATAGGCAGACAGTGTTCTTTCCTTTCATTCTTCGTCTATCCTTTTCAGACTAAGAGGATGGGTTTTCTGCTGTGGTAGTTGGTTAGAGCCATCAGTCACTGGCTTAATCTCTTTAACAAAAGATCGTGTAGCCACATACTTGCTGAAAATTCTAGGACACGTGTCCTTAGTTTCTACAACAGAATTTTCCAAATTTTTTAAGTTTTGTTTTCATTTCATATAGTTCATTTTTAAGTCCATCTTGAGTTTCACTATAAGCAGCAAGAAGAAACCATGTGGCCCCTTTAAGATCTTGCTTAGTAATTTTACCAGCCAGGTATCATCTATTATAAGTTATACCTTCCACCAAACATTTTAACAAAATTCAGATTTTTTGCCACCACATAAAAAGCATCACCCTTCATCCACTGTCCAATCACACGTTCATTATTTTCTTTTAACGCCTCACCAGAAGCATATTTAGTATTCACATTTCTAACAACATTCTGCTGCCACTGCCATATTTATTCTCTAAGATGACAGAGACTTTCTCTATAGCTGTCCTCAATTCCTACTGAGCCCTCACCAAAACCGCCTTTGATGCCAGTAATTGTACAGTCTCTTCAAGGCAATCTAGGATTTTACTATTGTTGTTGTTGTTGTTGTTATGTGCCGTCGAGTCGGCCCCAACTCATAGCGACCCCTCCTTGGGTTTCCGAGGCAGTATCACTACGGAAGTAGGATTGCCCAACCTTCCTTCCGAGGAGTGGCTGGTGGGTTTGAACCGCCAGGATTTTACTATTAGGTACCTGAAAACTCTTCTAAGTCTAACCATTACCCCATTCCAAACCTGCTTCCAATAGCAAGAAGCTCTCATGGTGTAGAGTGCCTGAGGCATGTGACTGCTAACCAGAAGGCTGGTGGAACCCACCAGCCACTCCATACAAGGAAGACTGGACAATCTACTGCAAAGATTTGCCACCTCGGAAACCCAAAAGGGGGTCACTATGAGTTAGAATTGACTTGATGGCAGTGAGTTTGGCTTTTGGTTTTATTAGAATAGTATCCTATTCCCGGTGCCATATTCTGTCTTGGTTTTCTAGTGCTTCTATAACAGAAATATTACAAGTAGATGGCTTTAACAAATAGAAATTTATTTTCTCATAGTTTAGGAGGCTAGAAGTTTGAATTTAAGGTGCTTCCTATGGAAGCAATCTACTTCTGTAGTGATACTGTCTTGGAAACCCGAGGAGGGGTTGTTATGAGTTGGATCCGACTTGATGGTAGCAAGTTTTTTTGTTTGTTTGTTTAGTTCTAAGGGAAAGCTTTCTCTCTCTGAAGGCTTTGGAGGAAGGTCCCTGTCTCTTCTGAGCTTCTGCTCCTGGGCAATCTTCATGTGGCTTGGCATCTAAATTACCCCAGCTCTGTTTAATACCCTTTATATCTCAAAAGAGGTTAACTCAAGAAGTACTAATCCTGCCTCACTAACATAACAAAGAAAATCCATTCCCAAATGGGATTATAACCACATGCCTAGAGGTTAGGATTTACAACACACATTTTTTTTAAAAGCTCTTTAACACTTTATTTATTTTTGATTGTGCTTTGGGTGCAAATTTACAAGGCAAACTTGTTTTACATCCAATAGTTCATGTACATCTGATTTCACGGCTCTGATTACTGACCCCAACCATAAAAAAACTGTCTTCCCCTCTCCTGCCTGTGACCACCTCCTCCCTGTGCCCTTCTTATCTATACATTCCTGTATGTCCAGCTTTTGCTCTATGTGAATGCTACCCCTCTGGTGTCTCATGGCTGATTAAACCAAGGGGTGCATCTCCCTAGAATAGGTGGGTGCATCATCTTGGGGAAGATACTCTGCACGTAGGTCTTTCTACTGCTGGACGGAGAGCCAATCCATGTGAGTCCATTTCTAGACCCGAAGGATAACCCAGGGCCATAGTCTTGGGGGTTCTACCAGTCTCTTTCTGACCAGTAATTCTGGTCATTTTTGTACAAAACACATTTTTGGAGGACACATTTCTATCCAAAATACTATCAAAGTGTGATTATTCAATATTTGGCTGCTAAGTTCTGTTGGGTCTTATATGTTCAAAGGTATTTAAGAGTTTTGGAGTGTTAAACGTAAGGCAGAAGAATGGCTAGGAAATACACAAAAATATTCAAAACTGTTAAGAGTATGTCATCAAGGATAATCAATTTAAAACAAATGAGGGAGTGGACAAAGAGGATAAAATGAAACAAACAGCAAGCAAAGGATAGATTAATAATGCCATAATGCAAAGGAAAATACATGAGCTAAACTAACTTGGAAAACTTTAGCAGAAAAAAAGTTGGTGGTGCTTTCCTCTGCTCTGTTACACAGAAGAAATGACTGAATAACTAGGGTTGTCAGTTGGGCATCTTAAGTAGGAAAAATATCCCTGAATCTTTCAGTGAATACAGCAAACAATCAGTGCCTAGAGAAAACTGGGAGAATCAGATTTCTGCTAGCAAAACGTAAGAAGTTATTTCCAAGTATCAAAAAATTAAGACAGCCTTAAGTCAATTTTAAGTCAGCAGTCTTGGTTGTTTAAAACAGATTTCTACATCTCTATTTAGATAAGCCAGGATGAAAGTACATTAAGAAATTAGTTATAACTAAGAAGTAGCAAATAATAACAGTAAAAAAGTGAGATGCCAAACTGGGCATAAATTTCTACCACTTTACTTCACTACAATCTATTTTTATTGGATAAATCTAATACACAGAATAAACAAAATCACTAGAATTAAATCAATAGGTCAGGAATTTAAGTATCAATATCTGAAGAAACTTGGACCCCACATCTTAAGGAAGATTTACTTCCATTTCTAAGTTCTAAATGGATGATGTTATGTGAGAAAAACACAACTAGCATTACGTGGAAAAGAGTTTGTGAACAGTTGGCTGCCGAAATGAAATAAAACTGTTAAAATGGTTCTGACAAATACCTATAGATTAAAATATGCTATTTAAAGAGTAGCATACTAAATAGGCATAAATGAAGTACAATAAAGATGTCAGGGGGAAAAGTATTCAATTTCATTAATTCATTCAATAAATATTTAATAAGCATCTAGTATGTGCCAGGGCGTCAGTGGTGATACCTATAAAAAATTACGTGTGAGGTGGTATAAGCAGGTGTTTTGTCATTCCCTATTCCACTCTAGCAGGAAATGTGTCACTACCAAATAGTACTGACTTGCTAGCTAATCTGAACTGTAATTATAAATATAGATCCTATAAAGTAGAATCCCTGAGTGTGCGTTGTGGAGGGAGGGAAGAGGAACAAAGTGGAACTAACCAATTTAACCTTATATAATTCACATATGATTCAAATATTACAATATAACTTTGTAGAATTCCAGTAAAATTTTCATATTCCATTTCCCTACAAATTCCATCTGGAAAAATGTGAAACGTCAAACATGTTACTATATAAGGAAACATTTATTTTTAAAAGTTTCAGTCTCTGACATTTAAGGCTATTGTTGTCAGCTGGTGTTTAGTCAGCCTCTGACTCATGGTGACCCCATGAGCTATGGGACTGGTCCAATGGGATCCATAGGGTTTTCAGTGGCTGTTTTCTCATAAGTAGATCACCCATCCTATTTTAGTCTGGAAGCTCCACTGAAGCCTGTTCAGTATCGTAACAACAAAGCAACTATCCACTAACAGACGGTGGTGGCTTCTCATGAAGTACATTGGCTGAGAATTGAATCTGGTCTTCTACGTGAAAGGTGAGAATTCTGCCACTGAAACACCAAACTCAAACCACAAACCAAACTCTGTCATCAAGTCAATTCCAACTCATAGTGACTCCCACTGGGTTTCCAAGGCTGTAAATCTTTATAGAAGCAGACTACCTCATCTTTCTTCCACAGAACACATGGTGGCTTAGAACCATCGACTTTCTGGTTAGCAGCCCAATGCCTTAACCACTACACTATCAAAGCTCCTTGTTGAAATACCATTGCCCCATAATTAAGGCTAGAATAGATACTAAAGATTTTAATTTAATTCTCTTAAATCTTCCAAATATAAGCTGCTTTAAGAAAAAATGTATTTTATTCAAATTATATATGTATTCCACATAACTTAGAAACTAGAAAGTAGATACATACACAGGGCTAAAATCATTTCAGGGAAGGTGAACCTGTACATTAAAAAAATTCAAACAAAAATAAGAACGCCTGAAAGCCATGCTATTTGGTCATAAAATGAATTTTTGTAAGTTACTTTTAGTTAACTGAATCAAAACATCAGTAATCCTCAAAAAAGAAACTGTGGGAGGAGAAAAAGTAAAATTGTTGCTGTTGTTAATGAACTGCATTTTTTACTAAAATAATTTAAATTCCACTTGGTAATTTCAGAAAAGGGTAAAAATAAAAGTGAGGAATTAATTTGTAATACTGAAGAAGAGTACAAAAATGAACTAAAATTAAGCCCAAGATTAGACTCTTTCTCCCCTATACAAACACTGTACTTTATTAACTCAGAAACTCTAGAAATAAACTCAGAAAATTCAAGAAATAAAGGGCAGAACACTATACATAGGAGAAAAATACATAAAAGTGGGGCATTCTAGGACACATGGCTCCAAATTAAGTGTTTGTTCTTGTAAAAAATAGCCAAAAACAAAAGGAATAAAAATAAGTATTTATAAAGATGCTTTAGAACTCAGTACAAGCATAATGTGTATGTACATTTTAAGCTTTGAAATAAAAAGGGAAGGAATGGTATCTGGAAAATTGTTAGTTTATATTCTGGAAAAGAAAGGAAAAAATGTAGTCCTGATAAATGACATTTTCACTGTAGTTCTCATCGATCAGTCTTATAATCCATCAAGCCGACAGACAGAAACCACCCTATCATTATTCAGTTGGTTATAGATGTGAAATGTTTTCTGTTCCTTTATACCCACATAAAACAATAAGTGACAGGGGTGGAGTATAGATAATTTATCAAATACCTCAGATTAAACACAATTTCCTTTTGAAAACATAGTTAGATAGCATGCTTTATTCATACACTATTATCACTAAATAGTAACATGGCTGTGAATTTTTTTCCCTATTTCATTACAGCATCAAAAACAAAACAAAACAAAAAACACAAATATTATAAAAGTAACAGTAATACAAAAATGTAGGAAAAATGCAATAAAGATATTTAATGTATCACATACATGACTAGTGAAGAAAGAAATAACTTCTTAAAAATTTAGAAGTAAACAAATACAATATTTAGAATTTGGCATTAGTATATGACCACAAATTTTATACTAAAAAAGATATATTAATGCTGATTAGAGATATGAAAATTTTAGCTTAAATTTATATTGGCATTATGAATTTAAAACCATACCCAAATTTTGCAGCAATGTCATACACTTGCTTTTCATGTTGAAGAACCTTCTCACGGTCCCCCTCAAACAGTAATGTAGCTACACTTAGCTGATTCGGATCAAATCCTTTAAACTATAAAAAAATAAAACTTCATTATTAGGTAAGTAAATCAAAACACATTGCTCTTTCATTCTTCTGATCTGGATCAAACACAGCACCTCCTTAAAACTGAGTTTTGTATGTCAATACAAACCTTTACATGTCAATCGACAAGAATGCTTAACGAACCCACTCAAGTCATTACAATATAACAAAACTATAAGAACTATAATGTAATAATCAAATAAAAACTACAAAACTGGGAAAATGTAATAAAGTTTGCTAGACATAGGAGAAAAAAAAGGTAATAACCAACAGTGTCCTTACATATCAACTACTTATTAAACATCAGATTTCAAAGGAGATTGTATGCATCACATTAAAATATAAAACATCTAAGCATAATTTGCATTAGGAAAATATGTCTGGAAAATGATGAAAAAGACTTATCTTCCTGAATGGATAAGCTAAGTACTATAAACCTGACAATTCTTGCCCAAATTAATATATGAGTTTACTCCAATTCCAATAAAACTCCACTGAATTTTCCAAAATGATGAAGAGTTTCTAAAATTCTTCTAAAAAAATAAGCAGATAGGTGATGGCAGTAACACAAATTCTGAAAAACAAGAGGGAGAACTAGACCTACAACAATTAAACCCATTTAATCTTTTAAGAACAGAAGCTCATTAAAAAGAATTAGATAAATTAAAGTAGGGTCTATTTTGTGGAAAAGTATATAAAAAGATGTCTTAGGCGTGGAAATCAATGTAGAGGAGGAAGGACTGGTTCATTCAATGATGTTGTCATAACTGGTTAGCAATTCGGGAAGAGGGGAATGTGAAGAATAATTTACATATTTAGTTCATGTCATAAAATAGAAATAAATTCAAATAGTAATATTGTTGTTGTTGTTGTTATGTGCCGTCGAGTCGGACCTGACTCATAGCGACCCCTCCTTGGGTTTCCGAGGCAGTATCACTACGGAAGTAGGATTGCCCAACCTTCCTTCC